GGGACACACACAGCCCGGAAGGGCCCGCGACGTCCCGCGGTCGGACGCAGCCTTGGCGCCCAGGCTTATTTTTAAAATTTTGACCAGAGATGGGCAGAGTGAGAAAGAGAGAGAGAAAATGAGAAAGCAAGCCACCAGGTCCAGTACTTGAACTGCAGTTGGTGATGTGGGAGTCTAACGCCTTAACCACCACACCACCTGCCAGCCCCAGCTCGCTTACTTTTAAAACACAAAGGAATTTTAAGGAACAAAAGTGCTGAGGTAGTTTTAGGGGGAATAGAACCCCAAAAGAAGAGAATTGATGGTTTCAGTTACCAGGGATATTTGAATCCCCGAAACCAGGTAGTAAAGGCAGGAACGAGGAGCTCTGGTAGCCTGTCTAGGCTTGAGCAGTAAAGTGGATCCCCAGCCACTTTCCTTTGTGTTTTAGTTTTTTGCCACAGGGTGCAAGCACTAGCCAGAGAATGACAGAGAGGGAAAACGAGAATTCATCCCCCAGGGGAGTTGATCATGCTGCATCCCTTCTCCTCCAGTTTCCTTTTGGGATTTTGGGCACACACTGACATGCACCTGGCATGATTTTCAAGCCACTGAGTCCAGGACTTGAACCATGGACCTGGCCATGTGAGATACAGTGCCTTAACCTTTACACCACCTGCTGACTCCACTCCTTTGTTTTTTATGTTATGTGGTAGTTCAGTTAGTTAAACTTTTATGTGATATAGCCGTACAGACACTTTGGGGCTAGCTATACAGTTGAGGTGATTTTTACAAAGCATCTTTAACATCTGAAACAAATGGAGGTGTTAAATGGTTTCAGAGAATAAGTCCTGGGAATGATTACATAAAGAATGGCATTGGCTTTGCTTTCCCACTTTTGGTGTCAGCCTAACTAGGGTGTGGTTGTTTCCTCAATGAGCTCAGAACAATCTTGGATTGGTATTATAATCCGAAAAAGAAAGTTTACTTGTAATTGCTTGTGGGTTTTATATCATTAAAGTGGTTGGTTGTATATTTGTGTGTCTTTTGAAGTAAAAGTGGTATCCAGCTACTTGTGATTTCTTTTCATCCCCTTTTCTCCAGAGTGTTAGCCTCTTCCTTCTCTTCCTTGCAAATTTGTGAGCACAGTGGAATTTAACATTCCCTCTGTTCTTTGTGATCTTTGGGAATAGTCATTTATTTTATTGTTAATGTATGTGATAATAATTCAACAGCTTTTGTATTTGAAGTACCAGTATGGAATATGGCATTGAAGAGTTTTAAGAGGTGATGGATTCTCTGTGAAATGTCGGATATAATAAGCACTCTGGTTTCATTTAAGGCATTAATAAAAAGACAGTCTTTGTCCTTTGAATTTATTTTTACTTTTATTTATTTATTTATTTGGAGAGGTTTTTGCTATAGGGCGCATGTGCTCGCCGGACAGACAGAGACAGAAAGACAGAAAGCAAGAAATCACCCCCCAGGGGGAATGGCCACACCGCAATCCCTTCTCCTCCATTCTCCTTTTGGGATCTTGGGCACGCATGCACATGCGCCCTGCGTGAGTTTTAAGCCGCCGGGTCTGGAACTCGAACCGCGGTCGACTGCATGGGAGTCCAGCTACACAGCCATTACGCTAACTGCTGGTCCCTTTACTTTTATTTTATTTATTTTTTTTTGGAGAGGTTTTCGCTATAGGGCATGTGTGCTCGCCAGACAGACAGAGACATAGAGACAAAAAGCAAGAAATCACCCCCCAGGGGGGATGGTCACACCGCAGCCCCCTCTCCTCCATTCTCCTCTCGGGATCTTGGGTACGCACGCACACGCGCCCGGCGTGAGTTTTAAGCCACCAGGTCCGGGACGTGAACCACGGTCGACTACATGGGAGTCCAGCGACATAGCCATTATGCTAACTACTGGTCCCTCCCTTTACTTTTATTTTTTAAGAATTGTTTATTTAGGGGCCAGCAGGTGGCATAGTGGTTAAGGGTGCTGGACTCCCACATGACTGACTGCAGTTCAAGTCCTGGACTGGGTGGTGGCTTGCTTTCTCATTTGCCCTATCTCTCTTTCTCACTCTGTTCCTCTCTGGTTAAATTAAAAATAAATAAATAAAGTTAAATAAAATAATTCTTAAAAATGATTTATCATCCATATTATTATTATTTAGCCAGAGAGAGACAGAGAGAGAGAGGGCAAGTGAGAAAGCAAGCCACCAGGTCTGGAACTCAAACTATGGTCAGCCCTGTGGGAGTCCAGCACCTTAACCACTGTGCTACTTGCTGGCCCTTAAATTTATTTTTATAAAAGGAGGGAAAGGGATTGAAACGAATGAAGCAGATCTTAGATACTTACAATAAAAGGTATAATTTAGAATCAAAGTCAGAATCAGGAGGGGTGTGGAGGAATCTCATTTGGTTGGTAAGTTAAGGAAAAGACTTAATGGAGGAGGTGACACGTGAAATGAGCCCTGAAGGGTGGGTAGACTATCAAAGAACAGGATAAATTATCTTATGAGGAAGTTTTTACTAAACTCTTTTGTAGTGTGCTTTAATATAGTACCAGACGCCTTACATTGCAACATTTAACATCCTTAAGAAATACTAACTTGTGTTCATCTGGTGGTTATGTTTTGTGGGGTTTTTTTGTTGTTTTGGGTTTTTTTCAGTGAAGCATTTTGTTTTCTTAGCTTCTTTGAGGATAAATGTTTGTCTTCTGCTAGGTCAGATGTGGAATATATTTATGGCTGTGGGGTTTTCTTCTTTGTGATGGCCACTGTTCCCAATTTTTCACTTGATTTGGCTGTGATTCACTTGAAAAGCACTTGATTTTGTGGCTTGTTATGATATTTTTTATAGATTAATCCACATGCCAGTTCTTCATAATTTCCTATGTAGGTGTCAGGTTGGGATGAGTTATTTTCCCTTTTGGGGCTTTGTTCTCACTGTGCCCTTCTATATTTAGCCTCTGGGAAGGAAACTTGTTCCTGGGGAATAAAATCACCACTCATTTCTTTTTCTATTTAGTTTTTTAGGTGGTGGCAGCAGCCGAATAGACAATAGTACATCAACACATTTTGCAGAGGTAAGTTTTCGTTTGGGTTTACAGATTCTTCATGAAGTGTGTAATATAGATCCTGACATGTTTTAACACTGATTTTAAAATCACTTCCAGGTGCAGTAAAACATGAGCTTAACTGAGTATATAAGAAGAATGTGGGAGGAGTAGCCCTTGGAAGGATTTGTGTTTTCACTAGCTAGGGCTTTCGTGTGTTACTTTTGATAAACGCTTGATTCGGAGAAACAGCCTCAATTGTACTGTTTTAAATCTGGTGGTGGTTTTAGTTTTGGTGCCTACTTCATTATTCTGTATGAGGTGTGGAATTAAGATTTGTGCTGTTTTTGAAATAGTGACAAGAGAACCAGGTAAAGAGTAGGCCAGAACGAGTTATTCCTAAAGTCACAATAAAGCAGTCTTGAACAGAGGTACTGGTTTCTAGAATTTACCTCTAGTCAACATGGTAGTTGGTGCTGATTAAATATAGGATAATTTGGGGCCAGCAGGTGGTATAGTGGTTAAGGCACTGAATGCCCACATATCTGACTGTAGTTGAAGTCTTAGATCCAGTAGCTTGAAAATCACCAGACACGTGTGCATGCATGCCCAGAATCCCAGGAGGAGAGTGGAGAAGGGATTGTGGTGTGGCCATCTGTACTCGGGGGTGATTTCTCACTTTTCTCTCACTCTTTCTCTTCTCTTGTCTCTCTCTGGCAAACTCATGTGCCCTATGGCAAAAGCAAAAACAACAACAAAAAACAAAACCCTAAACAAAACAAAAAAGCAAAAACAAGCTCCAGAAATATATATGATAACTTACTTGTCTTCCAGATTTCTATATAGATTCTGTAATTAATTTCTACTTCTTTTTGCTTTTAAGATTTTTGCCAAAGGGTAAGTGTGCTTGCTAGACAGAGACAGTGAGAGGGGAAGTGAGAAATCACCTCCCAGAGGAGACAGCCATACTGTAATCCCTTCTTCATTCTCCTCCTGGAATTTTGGGCATACATGCACATGTGCCCAGCATGTTTTTCAGGCCACCAGCTGTGGGACTCAAACCGTAGTCGACTATGTGGAAATCTAGCACCTTAATGCCGCCTGCTAGCCCCTAATTTCTACTTGTTTATATATGGCATTAATATTTTTGGGGAAAAACAACTTGTTCTTGAAAGCTGACAGATACCAAAGGAAGATAGTAAATCCCATAGTCAGGTTTTCTTTGTTTTCTTTGTTTTAGGATCACTTTAGCCTTTCCACAGATAGCTGAAGTGCCTAGCGAGCTAGCAAAATATTTTATTTTGTATGTAAATAGAAACTGTATTAGCTGTGTATTGAAAAAGTGATATTCAGTAAGAAGCTTATAAAACCCTGTTCCTTTCCTTCACTCTCTGAAAGTTATCTTAAGACATGTATTCCCCCAAATTTGATGTTGTTATATTTATAGTCAGGAATCATGACAAATGTTTGGGTAATGATTCTGTTTTGTTTTAAACCATTGATTGATTGATTGAGATTTTCAAGCTACCCTGTCTGAGATTCAAAGCACAGTTGACCATGTGGGAATCCAGCATCTTAACTATCACATTACTTGCTGGTCCCTGTTTTATTAAGAGTGTTTTCTTTTGCTTTTGGCCTGTACATTTCCTAATATCTAGTATTAAGTTTTTTGTTAACTCTGAACTGCCTTGATGAATAGGTTGATTAGACTGGGATTATGGAAAGATCATATCTTTGAACCCTCATTTTTATGATCTCATTTTGGTGGATTTTAAAACATTTACAATTTCTTCTGTTTGCCAGGCCTGGAAACCTTTCCAATTTCAGTATTTTTCCTCCTTGAGTGTGCTATTCCTGATAATACAGATTGTCATATACTGATTATGCATATGCAAAAGAAACTTTGATTTTCCTTAAGTGTTAGCTCTCTTTTAAGAAATGGAAATAAGTTGGTATGTCAGTTTTTTAGGTATGACTCACCAGAAGGAGATGCATTGAGTAAGAAGAAAAATGTATGTAGTCAGTTTCCTAACTTTAGAAATGCTAAATCTGACACTAATGGTATGAGCTGTTCTTCAGGTGTGAAAGTAGTTTTGCTGAATCATAGCCTATGATTTCATGTTCTTCAGCTGTGATAGGGTTTGTAGCAAGGGCATGATCATGGCCAGTTTTCCCTCTGTTGAATCACGTCGTCATTGTGTCTTGGTATTTAAATTTTTCCTTTGCAAACATTATTTTTAAATTGAAAAAATAAAAGCTTTGCGATATTAAAGGAGTTGCCAAATTTTTTGTTTTTGTTTTTGTTTTTTTTTTTAATTAGCCCAGCCACAGTAGAACATGCGATAGATGCTGGTACTTATCAGGCAAGGCTACATTGGGGGCCCTGGTTCACTTCCTGGCCCACCCAATAAAGCTAGGTACTGTGTGTGTGCCTGTAGTACAACCTACTTGAAAGGCTGAGGCAGGAGGATGGCAACATTGGGAGGCTTTCTTAAAAAAAAAAAAATTAGCTGGGAAGTATATGTTGAGTGTTTTTGTGCATGGTACTCTATTAGAAGTTGGAATAAGGGGCCGGCAGATGGCGTGGTGGTTAAGGGTGCTGGACTCCCACATGGCGGACCGTGGTTCAAGTCCTGGACTTGGCGGCTTGCTTTCTCTCTCTCTCCCCTCTCCTCTTCTCTCTCTCTCTCCTCTCTCCTCTCTCCCTCTCACTGTCTGGTCAAATTAAAGTAAATAAATAATAAAATAATTACTTTTTTCAATTTTTTTTTTAGAAGAATTATTTAACTTTATTTATTTATTTAAATTTGACCAGAGAGGGACAGAGAGAGAGGGAGAAAGTAAGAAAGCAAGCTACGAGGTCTGGGACTCGAACCGTGATTGGCCATGTGGGAGTCCCTCGCCTTTAAACACC